CGTGGCCCTCCCGCCGCCCTTGCATCCGCGCGAGGCCGGCGATCTGCGCGTGGGTGCGTGCCTGCATATACGACCAAGGTGCGTGGTTTTCGTGCGGCGAGCGAGGAGGCTCTGATGAGTGAGTTCAGGGACAGGTGGGAGGTGAGATGCGGGCTCAAAAGGTGGGCCGGCGAGCCTGAGGCCGGAGCACGAGGTTGCCGTCGCCGTCGCGCACCCAGCCCTCTTGCACCGGGTCTGTCGCGGTAGCAGCAATGGTCCGTCGCGGAGCGCGAGAGTTGACCGCTCGCTCCGCCCCGCGCGGCGGGAGGAGCAGGCCGGAGGCGGCCGAGAGCGCAAACATGAGATCCGAAGCTCCGGGAGAAAAGAATTTTCTTTGCCCCCGACACTGGGCTGCCTCCCCAGAAATCCCGAGGAGGCGCACAGCGCCTAGATATGTCTTGTGTTGCTGTGTGCTGCACGCCCTGCGAGCGGGGCGGGGTGCGCACTGACCCTCTGTGTTCGTGTGCGTCGCCCATCTCTCCCTGGAGATGACTGCTCTATTTATTTATTTATGGGCTGGTGCCGTCCTCCCATCCCTCCCTTGGGGTGTCTGTTTTCTTTCTTTCTTTCTTTCTTCTTTCTTTCTGGCTAGCACCACACTCCTCTCCTTAAAATCCCTGTGTGGTGGCGGCGTGCCGTCCTCCCATCCCTCCCGTGTCTGTTTTTCTTTCTTTACTGGCCCACTAACACAGGTACACCACGGGAGCCGCCTAAGCGACTCCTGCGAGGACGGCGAGGCACTTAGCTCCGTGCATTCGACCACAGCCACAGCAGCTGCTAGTCGTGAGCTGCTACTGTGTGGCAGAGCCCAGAGAGAGGGCTTTCAGGAGCACTATATACCGTGAGAGCGGCCGGCGGCCGGCGGCGGCCGGTGCGGCACGCGGAGCACTCCGTGAGCGGTGACGGGTGCGGACGAGCGAATGAGAGGTCCCTTTCAGTGAGAGATAGGCAGTCCTAGTCCCTAACAACACATCTTCCACAGATAGCGACCTCTCATTCGCTCGTCCGCGCCCGTCACTGCTAGTCGGGGCACTCCCGGCGTGCGGCCCGGTCCCGGTCGTCACTCCGGTTGCTCGTGTTCACACCGTCAGAACTCAGCCCCGCGAAGGATCCAGCGTCTGAGACTTGGGCATCTTACACAACTTTTGCAGTAGAGCACAATGGCACCCTTGCATCACGTGCATCACTTCGTTAATACACCGTAATACCGACCCCCGTTTTCGGCCGCCGCGGCCGGAGAGCACCCCCGTCGCCCCCGGGGGCCCGTCGACCCCCCAGGGCTCGCCATGTACCTTTCTGAGCGCTGTGGTCGCCGCAGACTGGCTCCGACTTGACGGGCGCATGGAGACGTGATGCCTCCATGCGCCCGTCAAGTCGAAATCGATATGCAGCTCGATGGTTTGCCCGAAAAGGTACATGGCGGCGTTTGGCGACAAAACAGCGCTGCGACCGCGAAGTGGCGGTGGACATGCTCCCATGTTGCCGACGCGGCGCCGGACTGGCCGGCGCTGCTCGCCGCGACCACGACGGCTACTCCGATGCTCCGGGCCGACCCGTCCTACCCGACGGTGGCACTCTTCCACGTCTCGCTCACGCTGAGAAAAAATCTGAAACGGCGTGCAGCAGAGTCGCCGACGAGTCGGTCCGCGTGCCTCCTCGTGTCGCGCATCGTTCTCACACATCCACAAACTCACTTTGGCCTCACTAAAGCGATGCCTGAATCCTTAATCCTCAGATTTTAGATTAGGACGCTGTGGGCCCTCTAACGAAGAGATTAGGAGCAGCAGGCTGCGAGCAGGGACCCGAGGGACCATATGTGGAAGACGGCTAGTGATAGTTCCCCCATCGGGAGGACGACCCCGGCTAGTCGCCGACCACACCCACAAAGAACCCTGCACAAGGATCGCAAGGGCGGGGACCTGTTCCTTTTTACCCATCTCACAGTAGAGGTGTCTCCGTTTAGGTTTTTATTTATTTATTTACACACAAGGGGCTCTCAACCGCTGTGTCAGTAACTCAGAGTGAGTGTCGACAGTGTGCCTTCTGTGCCCACACCGCACCCCCCCAGCGCCCAGACCCCCAGAAATATTGAGCATAGCCTCCCCGAGTGCCGAGAGAGACACACACGACCCTTCGCCTTCACCATAGACCAGAGCCCCACCTCAAAAAAAGAATTATAGGAATACAAGCCTCTCAAAAAAAGAATTGAGAGGCGACTGGGACGCTGTTCCCGCTGCGGTGCTCGCACGCGCACACCGCCGTGCTTTTGCACTCTTTCCGTCCATGTCGAGCGAGCACGGCTGGCCGGGATTCGAGGCCGTCACCGTTGTGGCCGACAATTCGCCGCCCGAGTGCATAGCGCCGTCGCCGAGCTCCTCGACGTGCGATGCGGCTGACGCGGCACACTTCCACGCCCGAGCACCGCCTGCCGGTCAAGGTCCCGCTGTCGACACCGCAGCACTGCGCGTGTGGGCGTTTGACGGCCACACCGGCCCGCTCAACGACATGGCCTCCTTCCTGATTGGGACGCTGGGAGTCGACGCATCTCGGATCGACGGCATGATCTTCATGCAGGCCATGTCGTTGAGGTCGATGCTCGATCCGCGCATCTTGTCGCGCAGTCCGCCGCTCCTCGGCAACAGAAGTGAGTACCAGCGGCTCTCTCGATTTCTCGCCTCTGTCGGCACGGGAGGCTTAACACTCCCGGCCTGCGAGAAGCGCCGCTGCAGGGACGCAGTGCACGACGAGGCCACGCGGCACGAGTTTGCGGAGCAGTTCGGCGCGCTCTTCGCCGACCGGGTCGACGCCGTCGTGTGCAACTTCCCGACGTGGCCGTGCCTGCTCTTCGCGGAGCACAACCTGAGCGTGGTGCTTCGCTTCACGCACAGGTGGGACCACCATCTCAACGGCGTCGTGGACTGGGTGGAGGCGGGCCGCAACGCGAGCGGCAACGAGCGGCGGCCCAGATCGTCGATTGCGGAGGCTGCGCGCAGGACTCTAATGCGCGTGGCCAGGCGCGGCCAACGCATATCACCCTCCCCCACTGGATGGTGATGACCAGCCCCTTTCCCGCGTGAGGCCCCTCATACATTTCCACACCAGTAGGCGGCCCAACGTGGTGGTCGCCGCTTCCAATGCGTACGACGACGTGTACTTGCGCCGCACCACGGGCATCGCGCCGGTGCCGTGGCCGGGCACGTCGCCGCAGCTCGCCGCGACGCCGTACACCGGCACGAGGAGCGAGGTGCTCTTTTGCTGCGGCAACCATGCGTACA